TTATAACTTCATTTTAAAATGTGAATGCTCTTTGGAGAAGGCCAAAACACTGGTGCAAGTAAAGGCTATATCAACAAAAACCCAGTTTTATGACTGTTTGATTTGGAAGGATGGCTTTGCTACTCTAATACTAACGTTTGCTGGTGTGGCAATATTGGCAAAGCTTATGTGAAGTAGCCCTTATGGTTAATCTGGGGCAAAATCATTAATTTTGAAAGACATCTCCTTTCAAAAGACCGGTGATTCCCTCCTGTCTCCTGCAGCCTTGTTCCCGACGCCCTGCTACGGCTGTGTAAGTAGGGCAGAGTCTGAGCTGTTTGTGGGGCCCTGACGTGAGAGCAGGTAAAAGTTTTTGTGTTGCAAAGCATCAAAACCAAAGCGTCTGTCTCTTGTTTCCCAGATTTTCTGATTGTTGTTCACTGTAAATATCACAAACCTGCCTGAGGTTAGCGTGGTCTAGAGCATTTACAAAGGCACCGTCTTTGCAGAAAGGTGTTTTCTTTACCTGTTTAGGTATCAATACACCAGCACTCTAAGGATTAAAGTATTCCAGGAGTTAGACTGTTGTTCTCTTTATTCACTGCAGTGGAAATACATGGGTTATCTTTTTTTCATAACAGTTCACAAACAAGGCAGAGGTTTTAAAGATAAAAAATATTCCCACATAATTATGTCTGACTCAGGAAAGCAGGCTTTATTGGTGGAGCCTGAATTATTTGTTTGGGGTTTCATTTTGTTTGTTGTTTTGCTTGGTTGGGTTTTCTTAAATTCTTTTTCTCTCTCCTGTAAACTGTCAATGGCAAAACACAGGAAAAACAAGTTTTCAGGCACATGGACCCTTTCTCAATGTGCTTCTTGTGCACCTTAACTGTCCCACAACAGTCCTCTCACAGGGAGTACCTATTTTTCTTTGTTTTGCTCTTTGAAAATGAGAGGTAAGTTAGAAGATCCATCTTAATTTTAACGAGAACTGTGGATAGTCTTAAATTTAACAGTTGGGGTGTTTTTTTTTTAATTATTTGAATCTGTTTTGTACCACTAAATGTGAATTGTGACTCCTACAATATCAACATTTGTTTGTAAGCCCTTGTTTTCATTTTAATGATTTACCTTGCTTAAACTGTTGCTTAGATATACAGAAGAGGTATTGGAATGTTTTTCCTCTCGTTCTGCCTTATGTAGTGTCATTTGAGATGACTCATTAGGATTGTATTCCTTAAGTGATGTGGAAGAGCAGATTCTAAATTTGTCACACAGACACACAACATCAAAACACAACGTAAACCCGGCTGTTCTTATCCCACTTGCTCAAGGTGTAGTATGTGCCAGGCAGTTTCTGTGAACCTGGTACAAGAGGTTGGGATGGATGTTGTGCATTTTAAAAACATTTTATTCATGTTACCGGAAGCGATTTCAACTTACAAGGATGATCTTAATTAAAAAAATGGAAATAACTGTTTTAAAACATATATGGAGTCAAGCTGCTCAAAATTAAATTACTTAAGAAAACAGGACAAAGAAGTTGCCTTGTTTTTTCTTTCCCCCAGCTCTGTATGTGTCCCAGCTGCGCTCTGCTCACAGCTAATGGCTTTTCTGGTTGGCTGTGGGGGTTCTTATTTCCTTCTAAATCTTGACGTTCTGGTCTTTCAGCTGAATTAAGGAAGACTGAGGAAGCCTTCTCTGCTGTGGTTTGGCAGCTTCGAGTGCTTTTAAAGTAATTAGAGATGTTGTGCGGGGCAGGAAGCTCTCACACGCGTGTGTGTTGGAAGGAGCCGTGCTGCAGCTGGGCACGTCTCTTGGATTGCTGAGGGCCACTTCCAGCTCCCTGTCACACAAATCACAGGCTGGATAAATCACCGTGAGGAAGAGTGTGGTGGAGAGAAAGCATCCTCCTTCCTGAGACACTGGCGGGTTGGACAACCCCACTTACGCGTAGCTAGAAATGGGATTTCTAAAGCGAAATGTGATGGAGGACCAGGGTTAAGTGTTTCACCAGGTTCTGAAGTGGGAACAGAAGTGTTTTAGAACTCCCTCCTCCTGTCTGTTGGCCGTGTAACCACGAGGACGCCCAGGCCTCCCTGTGCTGCCGAGGTGTGGGCACAGGTAACAGCGGATGCCGGGTGAGGCAAGAGGAGCCATGGCTCCTTGCCCTCCGCTTACATACCTCCTCCTTCATTCTCCTCCTTCAGCTTTCTTTCCACATTAGGCTCACAATTTTCTGTCTTCACCTTTTCCAGCCCCAAACCTGGGTATAATATCTCCTTGCATCAGTTTTTCCTCCCAGCAGCAGCTGTCCTGTGGTACCTGGTGTGAGTGACAAAGGGGTACCTCCAGCTGCTGTTTGGGAATAGTTCTCGGGTCATGGCTCAGAAATATTTGTACCAAAATAAATACACTGGTAGTTTATTAACTAACAAATTGAAGTTGTTTGACATGTATACAAGTACTGCTTCTCAGGATGGATGATAGGAACAAAGCTTACTCTGAACAAGGATGCATTTGCATAAGGTGAATATTTGCCCACATACAAATACTTATAACTCTGAAACCGATCGATTTGTTCTCCAAGTTATTTTTCACTTTGATTGTGTGCTTTGGGCTTGCAGCAGTGGTTGGCTTGTTTCTTTTCAGATTAACAACTGTTGATGCCTGAAAAAGCACACGGTAATTAGAACATCTAGCCTGATAAGGCCCAAAAACTCTGAACAACACTTTCTTGTTAGCAGAAGGCGTCAGCGCAAAGTCCAGGCAATGAGGTGATTTAGCTTGGGTGTGTACAGGTGATGCTAAGATGAAAGTTAATGATAAATAACGCTAGTCCTTTCCCTAATCTCCCCATTAGTGCTGCCTTGCGACATGTTTGTTGTATTGCCCTGCATCTGTGTTAAACCCCACTGTGTGTGGGATTTGCCCAGCTCTGTGTAGATGCCATTTGACCATACCAGCTACTCACAGGTGCCTGATGTGTGTGAAATACAGGTGCTGTCTGACTGTTTCCCTTCTGGTGAAGGAAGCCAGATGTTGCAAACCTTGACCTTTAGATGTGCTGTTGGGGGATATGGTGTAGGGGAGAACTTTAGAGTAGGGTAGATGGTTGGACTTGATGATCCCGAGGGTCTGTTCCAGCCTAGATGATTCTGTGATTCTGTGATTTTATGTTAAATTAACAGAAAACACAGTTTCAGCCTAGAAAACAAGACGCAGCTTTCACTGCAAACCAGGAAACCCAAAACCTGAGTGTAGTCGGTGAAATTGAGGTTGAGGTCGTTGGGACAGGCTTGACAATGTGTGTAAAGAAGCCTTGATGCTGGGTGAGGGCTGAAAATGTGTGCCACTGTGTGTGTGTGTGCTCCTTCATTCGTTTGGAGCTGTAGGCATGAAAAATGCACGTTCCACCCAGGTGAGGATGGCGTGAGTTGAGGTGCACGTTGCACGGGGTGGCGTGAGCTAAATACTCGCTTTGAAAGTTTTCAGCAGACATTGATTTGCAACTTGTGGGCTATTGCAGCTCCTGCTTTATTGGGTGTCACACAGACTGTTTAGAGAACAGGCTTAATTTTTTTAATCTCCTTCCAAGTGTTAGGAAATAAACAATTTCCTAATCCATATTATGTTGTTGTTTGGGTTATAACTTGTGCAAGGTGCTGCACGAACCCGGGGTGAAGCAGCTCAGCTTCAGACCTGGTGCAGCTGTGCCTGTGCTCAGAGAAGCATTGTACCCCCGAGTGCTCTGCCCCCCTTCAAGGCTAAAATTACCATCCTTATTCACACTTAAAAATAGCCTCTTACAGACTAGGATTTTATTCGATGTGAGTTATATCTTATTTTGTGAGAAACTAATATATTTTGATATGAGTAAAGGAAATAGAATCTGCCCTTAGCTAAGTCCTATTTATGTGTTTACTCAGTGTGAGTGTGAATAGCGGAGGACTGTGACACTTTCAGTTTAGCAAAGCCACAGCTTTACACATTAAGAAAATAATTCTAGCTAAGAATATATCCAAATGAATATAAAAATGTTTTAAAATGCTTTTATTTAAATGTGCTGTGGCATAGATATCTATATATACACACAGAAGGAGGCAGTGAAACAAGTTTTCTGGTCTTTTATATCATTTATTGTTGGTTGCCTAAAGCATGGAAAAAAAGATTAAAATCCTCTTTTATTTGCCCTTGTGGTTGTTTTCACTGGACCGGTGGACGCTGCTCCCTTTTGAATGCTTAAAGTTGTCTTTCCTGGTAAAAGTGTTTGTACTAGCAAAGCAAACCTGTCTGCTGTATTACAATTATTTCCTCATCTTTTCCCCCCAGCCCCCCTCCATTCTTTTCAAGGCCACATGAACCTGTTCCTGGTATTTTTAAAGAAATTGCTCATAAGTGGAGCATCCACTGATGCAGATGAATATTTAAAGCTCTGCTGAGCACCACATGGGCTGTTTCCTCCAATTGTGAGCACACAGTTCCCTTACAGCCAGGCATAGCATTAGGCTGATAACATCATAAACTACACAAAATGGTAATGCAATCCAAATATTTGTGCTGCCAGTGTATATTCTGATCACATCTCCTTGCTGTAATTATTATTTTTTCCTTTGGTAAAGTTTTTACTTTGTTTGGTTTTGGGGTTTTTTCCCACCTTTATCAAAGCAAATTGTTATGTTTCATCTGTCAGCAGAGGTGCTGTTCTGTTTGAAGTTCTGAGTGAAGTTTTGGAATGTTTGTAGTGAATGAGCTGGGAAAAAATTACTTTGGCTCTTTGATGCTGTGGGTATTTTGCAAGGCTAACGTATTTCTTCAGTTCGGAAATGTGATGAGCAATATTAGAGACCATACATGTATCCTTTTCATGCTAATTCAAGAGAAAATTTTTGCGTCGTATTGTAAGGGTTTAACATCTCTGTTATAGCTCAGGTGATCCACAGCAGCATTTGTTTCTTCAGAAAACCGAGAGCAAGCAATGTCCAGGTTGTGAGCTTTTATGTTCTTCTTTTCTCTCCTAGAACAAAATTGAATTATAATCCTCCAAAGGATGATGGCTCAACATACAAGATTGAACTTGAAGGGATATCTGTTGATATCATGAAAGAGATACTAGATTACATCTTCAGTGGGCAGGTATGGTATTAAAAAATAAACTAGATGGAAATTGAACGATTTGGCAAAATAACCTGGGTTTTTAACACTGTCATCCTGAAAGATGAACCTATTGGGGTTTAAAGCTTTGTGATAAAACTTCTGCGAAGCGACGTACGGCACTGGGGCTGTGTGTGTGGAGTGGAGGCAGGTGGCTCTGCAGGAGTTGTCTCTGTCTCTGCTCTTCTCGTGGGGCAGGGGGGGACCCTGACAGAGTCAATCTCAAATGCTCATATTAAAATTTGTGGCTGCCTTCAGTAACCTGCTTTAAAACATGGCGTCTGTGACAGCTGTAAAAGAACTGGTTTGATGGCATAGAGGTTGAGACCCCATCACTGAACATCACTGTGCATCAGGCACCTTCCCTCACTGACCCTCGTGCCCACCTCTCCAGCCTCTGGTCGCTGACGGCGTGGTCCTTCAGACCCTGGGGCCAGCAGCCTGAGCAGGAGCTAAAGTTGGTGTCTCCATTTGATTGGGAAGCAGATTGAGGCTGCTGAACAAGTTTAACTTTTAGCAGAAAAAGGAAAGGCAGATATGGCTTGGAATTCTTTTCTGAGCATGCATATTTATTTGTTGCAGAAAAATTCATTTTAGGTTCCCAGATTAGATGAGTGATTTTACAGTTACTTCAGGCACAAAATTCTGCTCAACACCTTCTGTCAAGCATATGCCTTTCCGTCCCTGTGTTAATTTATAAATGTGTAGTAGTCGTATCAATTTCTTGTAATTTTTACACTGGCATTAATACTCCATTTTTCAGCCACTGAGAATAACTGTAATGAATACGGACATGTCATAAAACAATTAAATGAGTGATAGTAGCTATAACTTGTAAATTAATTCTTGCAGATCAGGCTAAATGAAGAAACTATCCAAGATGTGGTACAGGCAGCTGATCTCCTGCTGCTTACAGACTTAAAAACTCTCTGCTGTGAGTTTTTAGAAGGTTGCATAGCTGCTGAGAACTGTATTGGTATTCGGGACTTTGCACTGCACTATTGTTTGCATCATGTTCACTACCTTGCCTCAGAGTATCTGGAAACTCACTTTCGAGATGTCAGCAGCACAGAGGAATTCTTGGAACTGACTCCTCAAAAACTGAAAGAAGTGCTGTCCATGGAAAAGCTCAATGTCGGAAACGAGCGATACGTCTTTGAAGCCGTGATTAGGTGGATCTCTCATGATTCAGAATCGAGAAAGGTCAGGACATCCAAATGTTTGTATTTTGAATGCGGCCCAAATCGGTGTGTTTATTCTAATCGGTGGGAACTTAAAATAGATGCATTTCCTTCAGGGCTAATCTTGCACTTAGAGAATTAGTCAAATTTTGCCAGAAATACAGACAGCGGGATTGCGGTAAAAGGGTGAAAGCTGTGTTGATGATGTATCATCTGCTGTCTTTATTATTTAATGGACATTAAAGACAAAAAGGACCTTTTTGGCATTTGATGGTATGATCTTGTTCTTGTAGAGAGAAAGCAAGTAGCACATTTGTAGTGAAACTTTGAAGATTTGAAGCATTTTTTTAATAACATTTTGTTGTAGATTTATTACTTTCGAATATCATAGAATGGTTTGGGTTGGAAGGGACCTTAAAGATCATCTCATTCCAACCCTCTGCCATGGGCAGGGACATCTCCCACTAGGCCACATTGCTCAAAGCCCCATCCAGCCAAAAACAGCCTTTTAAGGTTTTGATAGCCATAGAAGCACCTGGATGTAGGAGTGCCTTGATGCTGTTCTGTGAAGTTTGGGGGATTTTCTGGCATTTATCTCTTCCTGTAGGTTCACATGAAGGATGTGATGTCTGCAGTGTGGGTTTCGGGCTTGGACGCGGCGTATTTACGTGAGCAGATGATGAGCGAGCCGCTGGTCCGGGAGATCGTCAAGGAATGCAACAATATCCCCCTGACGCCCCCCCAGCAGGGAGAGGCCATGCTGGCCTCCTTCAAGCCCCGGGGCTACTCGGAGTGTATCGTGACTGTCGGGGGAGAGGAGCGGGTGTAAGTATGAACTGGCATCGCGGGTCATCACAGCTGGGGAAAACACACGCGTCTGGCATCCATGGCACGTCTGAAAACACAGTGTGGGGAGAGCATGTGCACCTAATGGGCTTATTACTCTGTCATTGGGGTTTGTTTGCAAGTTGGTGAGACACACCATAAATGCCTTTTGTAAATGATTCAGCAATAAATAGTTATTTTGTTTGTAAGTTGGTCAGACGCACCATAAGTGCCTTTGTAAATGATTCAGCAATAAATAGTTATTTTGTGATAATTTTCTGACATTCGACGTGTACTCTAGACTTACAGTAGGACGTGCTGTTTGTTCAGTAGGTGTTGGCTGTTGAACATGTACTCTAGACTTTACAGTAGGATGTGCTGTTTGTTCAGTAGGTGTTGGCTGTTGTTTTTTAAACTGGATAGGCTTTACTCAAAGTAAGCACAGAACATTGGAGAAGCACTTTTCTAATGGTCTGAAAAACATTTATAACAAATATTAAAAATAACAAGCATGTGTTTTAACTGTTTTGTTTATAATAGTTGTGGTTTCAAAAAAAAAAAGTCTTTATTGGTGCATCTGAGATGCCAGGTGAAGATTCCTGTTCCACACAGTCCCTTTCTTTTCTTGAAAGTAGAGGGGAAGGTTTTGTTCTGTTTCAGTAAGTTTAGCACTTAGACATTTGCTCTTTATAGAAGTGTAATAAAATACTCAAATAACATTTTGCACGTCAGTTTGTGGGTGGCTTTACTCGGGCATTCTTAATACTCTCTATCAGTTCTTTTTAGTTTGTTCAAAGTTCCTTCATAAAAAACTTTGTGGCTGGCTTAACTCAGGCATTCTTAATACTATCAGTTCTATTTAGTTTGTTCAAAGTTCCTTCATAAAAAATGTTACAGGCAGATCCAGTACAAATGGAGCCCATCTGCTTTTTATGTCTCAAATCTGTACAAAAACAAATTTACACATATTTGGTTTGGGGGCCTTCTCCTTGTCAAGGAAATGCCACATTTTATGAATATATATTAAATTATGAACAAGCAAGTTTTGGACATGAGGTATTGGCAGTGAACTCGTAAAACTCTTTGTCTTGTCTTTCTGTTTTTGTTTGTTCCTTCCCCACCCTGTGTTCAGATCACGGAAACCAACCTCAGTGATGCGGTGTATGTGTCCTCTTTATGACCCCAATAGACAGCTCTGGATTGAACTTGCTCCTATGAGTATTCCAAGGATCAATCATGGAGTATTGTCAGCAGGTAAAGGGGAACTTCCTATTTGTAAAGTCATTATTATGAAAACTTACCAGTGCCTCAAAATCTGAGATACGGTTTATAATAATTTTCTTTTTTCTTAAAGATTGACTGCACTGGGGTTATTTCATGCTTCCCCTTTGTCTGCCCAAAACATTACTTTATTCTGTGAAAATCCCTGTCATCTGAGTGTCTTAAAATCGCTATTCCCGCAATATTTTGTGGGAATCTGCTGCATCTGTCTCTCCAGGAGTATTTCATGTTTTAAGTAACTCTAGCTGCTGCATCACTGAATCTGTAGAAGACGGCCTACAGTGGTAGACTTGGTATAAATATGTGCTTTACCTTCTCCAGTCCCAGAGTTTGACCTCTGACTGGTCTGAACCTTTTAATGAGTTCCAGGATACAGCTCACCGGTCACGTTGACTTGCTCAGTGTCCCAAGTGTGAATCCTTTTTAAGATCACATTACGTTTTGTTTTACAGAAGGATTTTTATTTGTGCTTGGTGGTCAGGATGAAAACAAGGGAACGCTAAGCTCTGGAGAGAAATATGATCCAGATACCAATTCATGGAGCTCCTTACCACCAATGAACGAGGCAAGATAACTATCTAACTGTTGGGATTTGATTTTTTTACTTTGGCAAAATGTTCCTTCTGTTCTGAATCTTCAGTCAATTGCATTTTACACATTCAAAATTGTGCTACAGCCTCTCTTCTGTTTATATCCTCTTGTTTTACTTGTGGTCTGATAATGACTTCTGAACCTGGAAAAAAAATCAGTGAAGAGCTAGCTGTAAAGCCAAACTACAAAATTGCAGCAATTCCACATGGAATCGTACAATATTACTTAATATTTTGAATATACTGGCCTTCTAAAAATGTTGTACACAAGAAAAGTCTTATATGGACAAAGGGCTTGGACTGTGCAGAAAAGATGGACGGAGAACTTGCCAACGTACAGAACTTGGCTTGCAGAGAGATATTTATGGTTTGCTTGGTTTGAGTTAGTGTTTCCTCCTTCATATTTGCATTCCATAAAAAAGTAACAGCTTATTATTTGTAAACATATACCCTTAAAACACCTGTGTTTTTATCTTCCTAAATCAACACAGGGTGTTTATTAAGAAATTGCAGTTTGCCACAGGATTAAAGTCTGTGGTTGGCAAAAGCCTGTAGTTTTGGCCACGTTTGTAGTTAAAATGCATTAAGTTTCTTGCTTACTGTGGGTAAGACCGAGGGGAGCTGTGCTGCTGCACACAAAGGAGAAGAGCTGCCTTTTCATAGATCGTGGGCCCAAGTTTTGCTGCTGTAGAGAACAGAAAGCTAAAGCTTCATCGAGGAGACCACTGCTGTGCAAACTGACATATGGCCAAGCTCTCTTCCTAGGTTTCTGTGGGGTCTCTTTTGCTTTTGCTGCTTTCTCCTTTGCTTTGTTTAGTTGAAGAAATTAATAATCTTATTCTGGAGTTTAAGACTTCACCATTCAAAAACAAAACATACACCAGACATAACACCAATAACACTTTGCAGACAGATATGTTGAAAACCAGACTATATTGATTTATTCGCAATGGCAGCTCATGTTTTACAATGTTGACTTTATTGCTATTCCTTAGGCACGACATAATTTTGGTGTGGTAGAGATTGATGGAATTCTGTATATTCTGGGAGGTGAGGATGGCGAGAGGGAGCTGATCTCTATGGAGAGCTACGATATTTATAGCCGGACCTGGACCAAGCAGCCAGACTTGACCATGGTTAGAAAGGTAAGAACTACATCCTATGTTATCCCGTTACTTACTGTTTAATACTTAATGCCAATATATTAATTTTTTTCAACCTTTTGCTTCAAGTAGAAGCTGTAACAGTCTTAAAATGGAATGAGAGAGAGCAGCTCTTTATTTATATGCCAAAAAAAAACTGTGGCTGAGAATTTTAATGCATGGTGTGGTTTGACACAGGCGACCCAAATGCAACCGTGTGTGCACGTGTACACCATTACCTTTTGAGCTCTGGATACTGTGCATTTGTGTGTAATTTTAGATGTGCTTTTTCTTTTTTCCACAAGATTGGCTGCTATGCAGCTATGAAGAAGAAAATCTATGCAATGGGTGGTGGCTCCTATGGAAAACTCTTTGAATCTGTGGAGTGTTACGACCCCAGGACTCAGCAGTGGACGGCAATCTGTCCTCTGAAAGAGCGGCGGTGAGTGAAAATGGAAGGGGGGAACTGGATTGCTGCCTGCACCTTTTTTTACCTCCCTGATGAGAGGAAGTTTTCCTTTCCCTGTTAGCCCTGTGAATTCCACCATGTCTTTCTGAATTTTGGTGGCTTCTAATTAATATATGGCTGACTAGAGATAAGCATCCAAGCAATAAATATTAATTTTGCAGAAATAGACTCCTGATGTTACAAGCAATTTTTCTCTGATGCAAAATGTAAACCAGAAATTGTAGTTCAATTGGAACTTCCAAATTTTTTCGAGATAAATACTTCGCTGTTTTGTTCTGTTACGTGGTCAGAATTAGGTGCTTACAGTTCATATTCATGACTTATCTCATCTTACTGAGCATATAAGAGGGTGTGTGTGTATGAATTTTTAAAATGTAAAAAAAATGGAGAAAGTTCAGAAGGATATGTGGAATGGTTTTCATGTATTTCATTTAATATTTTTATTTCTCATTTGGATTCTCAGATTTGGGGCAGTGGCCTGCGGAGTTGCCTCTGAGCTTTATGTATTTGGCGGCGTCAGGAGTCGTGATGACAGTCAAGCCAGTGAGATGGTGACGTGCAAATCTGAATTCTATCATGATGAGTTTAAAAGGTAACCAGCTGCAGCTGTAAATGTAGGAAATTAGTGCCTTATACGCTCACCTGTCTGTTTCCCCCATCCTTGCTCCAGCACTTCAAAGCATATTAGATCTGTATCGTGCATCTCTGTTGCTCATTTTACCTTTTATGATCCAGTATGGCTGTTACCAAAGGTCCATCTGCTTCAGTGCCTGTCCCTCTAAGATGCCAAGGCTAAAGCCCTGGCCACCACGTCAGTCTTGAGTGCCCCTGTGCAGGAGAAACACCTTGGTGACACGGAGTTTGCCTGGTTCCTCCCCTGCAGTTGCCCCAGGTGCAGGGAACTGCTGCCCCTCACCCCTACCCATGTCCTCGGCTCCTCGTGGGTGCTCGTGGAGGAGTGTAGGTGTGTACAGGGATACTTCTCCACCATCCAATCCTATCTCCAGGATTTGCAGCCTAGGGAATTCCTGAGTTAAAGATAAGAAATTTCCTGCATTTTTGTTCCAAGCATTTGTAGCTGATTGCTTTTTGAACCCCTGTAGGCTTTTGCCACAGGAAAGACACTATGGATGCTATACATCCCACAGCCACCTCAGCAGGCTGTGTATGGCTAATCTCCTTCTGTTTGTTTTGAATCTGCTTCTGATGACTTGATTTGTTATCTCTTGGCTCTGGTATTGGAATCCACCTTACTGCATGTGGTAACTATTCGCAGTTACATTAGATAGAATTTTTGTGTATAGTCACCTTATTCTCCAGAGAAACATAACCTACAAGCTTTGGTTCCTCTGGTGGTTTTGTTTTCTTGCATATAACTATAAATTGGATGAGTGTCTTTTTCTTTTTTTTTATAAAGTAAATTGAAAGAAGTCACTGTGGTCAGATGTTTCAAGGCTTGTTGACACTGGAGGAGATTAACACATCTGTGTTACAAGACTGATTTATGACTGTGACCTGTATAAAAGCACAGAAGCATAGAATAATAGGTGGAAGTTCATGATATAATTTTCTTGCAAGATGGGGATGCAAAGAGACTTTAATTTCAGTATGAAGAGGTCTTCTGTGTTGTTCCAAGTGATGTCTAAATAGCTAGAATCAGATGAAGCTGGAGAAAAAGTGTTCTTTAAGGTGTTTATAGTAAGCAGACAGATAGGAAGGGCTATTGCTGCTGCTGTCTAACGGTTTCTAGCCCTGTGGGGGTGTGCAGAAATGCTAAAAGCTCATTAACTTATTTCTCAAGAGGCCTTTGAAAAGGGAAAGAATTCTGCAAAGAAGTGCTCCCTGATCTCCTACTTGCTATTTTTAGTTGATTTACCTGAAATATTTCCGGGCTGATCCTGTTCTTCAGAAGGTGGTATGTAGCAGCTGGTGATTCCCCACCAGTGACTGTAAACCCGTTTGACTGGTTGATACAGGTTGAGCTTTCCTGAAGTGGAGATTGGAAAGCCTTGGGTGCTGCAGGTGAGTCCTTGGTGCCACCTGCTGACTGCAGCACGGACGCCTGCCCGCGATACTCTGTGTGTGTGTGTGCCTTTGCTTGGTGGCATCCCAGAGGTGTTACCAGTTTCCAGTAAAATTATAATAAAAGTCCAGTTGTTTCTGGTCTTGTTCTAGCCCCCCGTGTGTGGTGTGTGTGGCAGGAGGGCTCTGCTGGCCCGGGGGAAGGTGAGGCAGCAGCCACTAATCTGAAACCTGAATTGCTGGGGGAGGTGTGTGTGGAGGGCTGCTGAGAGATTCAGAGTTTGCCTTTCTGCTCTGCCGCGGCACAGGACTGAAGTTTGGTGATTTAACTCTGCCTAAACGTGCATTTGCACTGCGGGTGGGTCACGGGTGCTGTGTTCTCCACGGGGAAAAACGTAAGGCAGTGAAGTCAGGGAGGATGGCCACTGCTGCTTCGGCTGCGGGGGCTGCTGGCTGGGGTTTTGGGGCTCTGCTCCCCGGTGTGGGCAGCCCCGGATCCAGCCCCGGGAGGCAGACGGGGTGTTGTGGCCAGAAGAGGGTGCAGTGTCACTGCGTTATGTTCTGGCACTACGGCCCCTGGGTCCAACAGTCACCCCTGGGTTGGGAACTGGGGGGGCTGCGGCGGTGACTGGGGGACCTGAGCACTTGTACCCCTGTGGGAAAGGGAGAAAATAGCCATAAAGGGACCTCAAAATGCAGTTAGCAAATATTTCTGCCTGCCAGATACTGAGACAGAATACTTTGTTGTCAGGTACTCACTTTGAAGTGAGATTGAATCTGGAAAACTATAATAATTTCATTATAATATTGTTTCACAAATATCAAATGAATGCCAAATGAAGGTGAGTTGACTCTCTGGAAAACCTGAGGGAGTTGTTTCCTGGGCTGATTCTGAAATTGCAGAAAACAAATCTAAATCACTTTATTTTCACTGAAGGACAAAAGCTTAAATAATATGCTTAAGTCTGTGAAAACCTTATTCTAAATACCGATGTGTGTGTTTGATTAGTTAAGCAATTCCACTTGTGGTGGGTATCATGCTCTGCTGTGCATCTTTACTCAAGAGTAAAGCATCAGGGATGCTATGGATTTTACCACAGGTGGACAATATCTCACTTTTGTTTGGTTAGTGCATAGTTAATGTGATATATACAAAGACTGATTTGTCATCTTAAACATTTTGCAGTCGCTACAAGGTGATTTGTTTATAGTTGATAAGCCTGTTGATTTCCTCAGCAATAGTTTCTGAAACAAATAAAGCTAATTAGTCCCCTTTAAACCAGTGGCTTCAACATCATCTTAAACATTGTGCAGTTGCTACAAGGTGATTAATTTATAGTTGATAAGCCCCTGTTAATTTCCTCAGCAAAAGTTTCTGAAACAAATAGAGGTAATTAGTCCCCTTTAAACCAGTGGCTTCAAAAAGTCACCATGAAGGGTAGGATATAAGCACCTTCAGATTCACGTATTCTTTTTGTAGGGACAGCGAAGGAATGGTGCTGGAACTGTCAAAGCTGAAATATCCCAGTGACAGTGAATGTGTGTATTATTGACAGATGTCCAAAAGCGTTGGGATAAGAGAGATTTGTAGACAGGGAGGAATAATATGTTTGTGAAATCATTTAGCAGCAGTGGGTCAAAAGCACAGTGTGTAAGTCCTAGCAGTCTCAAACCAAACTCCATAGTGGTTTTTTTTAATGGTTGCCTATTGGTATTGCATAATTCCTACTGGGCTACAGACTTCTCCAGCTGTTTTTAAGTCAGTGCAAAACTCCATCATGTGCACTTTCTTTTTGAATGGAAAGAGTTGTTTGTACTGTGAGTTCAGGCATCAGACATTGTTGGTTTACAGGTTCGTGCGGTGATGCACACGCGTGTGAGCTGCACAATTGTTTGTGTGCCTCAGCCCTTGTTAGCCAGGAATGCGGGATCTACCCTCACCCCTGGCATCCAGAGCCCAGGAGGATCCGAGTTACAGGCTTTGCTCAGCGTGTATCTCTAAGTATGTACTTACATCAGTGTATAAACACATTAATTCATATAAACCAGCATAATTCTGGCTTGAATTGGATTAAAGGGCTGAAGTTTAACTTGTTTAATATTGCTTACTTTGACAGTAACTTACTCCAGGATAACTCACAGTGCATAACCTTTCAGAATTGTTATTCTTAACCATGACGCAGACTTTTCTGAAGACCAGGAATACGCTGAGATCTTCACACTAGCCAAAAAATAAACACGGAGACTCCTGTTTAGTTCTGCTGTATAAACAAGTAATAAAATAAATGAAGTGAGACAGAATAGTAGCATAGGCATTAAAGGTGGACAGGATAATGTAGAAAATAATTCTCATATTTGGAGTACTTCTGTAACTGAGACTTTTTTCAATTGATAAATGTTTTGTCAGCCTGTCTAAATTTAGAGTCATGTGCATGAGTGAATTGAAGTGAACTGGGGATAGAAAATACGTGCGTCAGACTGCAGGTTTTTTTAGGATGTAGATTTTTTTTTTTCCCCAAAGGCTATAGATTGAGCTTTGTGTGCATGGTATCTTGTTTTTAAAAATATCGATCAAGCTAAAAATAGATCTAAAAAAATGTGAAAGTGGTGGAGATGTAAGGATATCCTTCACTCAGCAATCCATTGTTGGTCTGCTCCGTAAAAAGCAGGAAATCTTAACTGCGTATTGAAGACCTTGATGGGTCAGTCCTTCCTCTGCCAGAGTCTGTAATTTATAATATGCCTTTTTGCATCACGTAGGAGCGTGGAGAATGGGGTGATGTCTGTACGCACTGGGGTTTTTATTCCTTTTCATTGTGGATATCTGGAAATATTTATTGGTGCACAAATTTAGGATGCTTTGCAAGAGCTGCTGGTGGAGCTGTGTCCTTGAGCACAGCTGCTGCCGCCTTTCCCCGCTCGTCTGTAGCTGGGGAAGGTTTATCCTCCTCTTCTTCACCAGCTCCCCATTCAAACACATTGTCACAATTTGCAGGTGTTGAGGGGGATAAAAGCGGGAGATGCTTGTTCAGAAGCAAGACTTGGTAAAAACTCTTTGAGAATATTCTTTTTGCTGCTGGAACATGGTAAAATAAAGGGAAATGCTTTCAGCAGCAGGTAAATAGAGAACTAAATAACCTTGTAACACAGTCTGTGTGAGGAGGAAGATTCTCCTGTTCGGTGTGCAGGCATTTCATTAAAAGAAAGTGCTTATGCAAATGCTATCAGAAAACTAGCTGGGTGACTGATAGTGCTGTCAGATGAGGGATGGGAGGAGCACGGAGAAGGCTTTCCTTCAGTTGTAGGCTTCCTTTCACAGCTGGAGTGAGCTTGAGGTGACGCATCTGGAATATGTTGGTTCTGTATCTTGTCTCTGTTTGCCTCCCACTTGGAAATAAAACCATTACCATCCAGGCTTGTTAATTACAGCAGTGTGGATGAGCTTTTTTTTTTGTTTATATCACTTTAAGACTGAAAAAAATGGGGATTCCTTCCCCTTTTTTTTAATTTGAGTGGCAACATTTCAGTTTCAGAGCAATTATTTCTATCTGTGGTTATAGAGGTTCATGCCTTCTGCCCTGCTGCTCGGGTTTGGTTTGATCGGAGCCGTCCAGGGAAGTACGCAAGAGTTATGTTCCCATTCCTGAAGATTGTGAATTTTTTTTGTCGTGGTGTTTTTTCCATACTGCTCAAACAGCAGGCACAGCCCACGTGAAGCTGGAGCTTGGTCAAATTCTGATGAAACGTGACCCTCTGCCCTTCCTGTCTTTGTTCCTTCCTAGTTCTGAATGCTAAAGCCGCTCGCTGTTAGCGTTCCTGAAAAGTTGTGCTTGTTTTTTAAAGTATATGTGTTGAGAAAAATTTCGTTCTCAATCTTTCACGAGCAACTCATAGATACTTCAATATTGTCCTTTCTTGATGTGCAGTAGGAAAATGCTTGGGTCACACAGTGTTGTGGGGTTTTTTTTGTTTAAGCCCCAAAACCTTGAATATGTGGTGCAGACAAACCCCTGAAGTTCATGTGTTTTCCAAGCTCAGGCTTGATCAGTAGCTAGATTGAATTCACCAAACTTTTGTTTTTTCCCTTCTCCAACATGGTCCTGTATTTACTATTAAAAAAAAAAAAAGGAAGAAATTGCATCTTCCTCCTGCATTTTTCTGCCATTTATTCAGTTTTCGTAACTGTAGTTAACTTGGTGCTAAGAAATGATGAAAACACTGACTGTGTCCTCTTCCCACAGTAAGGAGAGGAAGCTAATGAAGTACAGCAAAAGTACATGTAAACACAGTTTCTGAATCAGTGTAGAGAACTTCTCCTTTTCTCTGTTCTCAGTTCATCCGCCCTCCCCTGTGACAGCTACAGGCCATTCCCTTCCTTTCTGCAGAATCGTAATCCTCTGGTGTATAGCGCAGACAAAATAGTGGGCAGCTAATCCTTTCATTTGGCCTTTAAAAATTGATATCTCTCTCTCCAAGATAATTGATATGTAGCAGCCTCTCCTTCAGTGCCAGACAAGAGGCTTTCTTCTGAATCATGAGTTAAGATAATGCAGAATTTTCAAAGGTCAGCAGTATCCGTGAGGATGTTTCCTAACTTTTTTTCCCTCAAATTGACCAGGTATGGTCATGAAAATACATGGGATGCTTTTCAAAGGTTTTCCAAACTTTACTGTTCTCTGTGAATTATTCAATAAGAGATCGGGAGCAGTCACCTAAAATAGCATTGATTTGTATGTCTTCAGGGTCTATAAGTAGCAACTGTGACAATATTCGCAAAAGTGCAGCAGTGTTTTGTAGAAATTTGTTTCAGAACCGTAGAGAGGATGCTGACACAGATAAATGGGACCTGGAATTATTTACATTTGCTCAATGAAAGTTGCATATCATGGGGTTTTATTATTATTTTTACAGGTGGATTTATCTAAATGACCAGAACCTATGTATCCCAACTAGTTCTTCCTTCGTGTATGGAGCTGTGCCCATTGGAGCCAGCATATATGTGATTGGGGATCTCGATACAGGTCAGAATTGGAACTAATAACCTCCTGTTACTTGTCTTCTTCCAGTCTTTTAAATATGTGGCACTAACAAGACCAACATTTTTTTTTAGAATAAAAGGCTGGCACTATGTTCTGTTAAGTTACTGTTGTCTTCAGGGGAATTATGCTGCTTGGACATACACAAATGTACAGGGTTGATTTTGTACATTGGAGCTCTTCAGAAACAAATTCAGTGCCATAAGCATTTGGTTGATGAGCAGTTTGAGGATCAGGAGAGGTCAAGACTAAGAGTTTGTTACTGCATTTGTCTAAATATAAGGAGAATATTAGCGCCTGAGGTTGTTTCTCCCACCTTCGCAGCGATAAGCAGGTGCTTCTGCGTTTTGGGGCCATCGTCCAGTGGTTCCAATGGCTCTAAATCCCAACTGGATAAATGTTACCAACAAACGCATGTGGTACTCAGCTTTCACCATAGAATCATAGAATGGTTTGGGTTGAAAGGGACCTCAAAGATCATCTAGTTCCAACCCCCCTGCCATGGGCAGAGACACCTCCCACTAGAGCAGGTCTGGCCACGTACTGTAAAAGACACGTGGAAGACTGCATGTTTTGATGGCCACATACATCTGGGAGTGTGTAATGGGGCTGTCTACAAAATAGGAAAGAGCAAACTCACAAATGTGGTGGGTTTCAGTAGATAAGAAATGTTGTAGTAGCTTCATCTTGACAATAATTTCAACCATACCTCCCGAAATTGATTGATGTGTCTGTGCACGCTCTTGTTTGCCTATTTGCCTTGTTAGAGGTCGGACGTGGCGAAAGCTACAGCATGTTTTAAGCCATTTATCTTCTCTTTTTTTTTTATGTGTGTGACTTCAGGTACCAATTATGACTACGTTAGGGAGTTTAAAAGGAGCACGGGCACCTGGCAGCGCACCAAGCCGCTGTTCCCATCGGACCTTCGCCGTACGGGCTGCGCGGCTTTGCGGATCGCCAACTGCAAGCTCTTCCGACTGCAGCTTCAGCAAGGGTTGTTCCGCATCCGCGTTCCTTCTCCGTGACCCGTGTGCTGACAGTGGAGGAGACTGGAAGAATTCTGCGCAGTCCACCATAATCTAGCTCTATATAAAGGAAAAGCTGAGAAATTACAGCTGAAACTTACACTGTATGCTGTGCTTTGGTATGGTAACTGTTTTTGTTTTAAATGCTTAAAAAGCTTGAGTCTCAGTTCTTGTTTCGGGAACAAATAACTTAAGTATACATTAAAAAGAAGAGAGGGGGGGAAAATAAAAGGGGGGATCAAGGAAAACACCTTCAGTCGTAACCATTTGGAGTTTAAACCCTGTTATCGAAGGAGGTTTTTTGTGTCTGAAAGTGGTGGGAATTGGTATTCCTTTGGCGAAGCTTATTGAAAAGCAAAGCAAAAAAAAAAAAAAAAAAAGATTCAAGGTGCATTTCCCCTGAGGGGAGCTGCTGCGAATAACTGTGCTATCTGGGACTGGATAGCTGTAATACACGGAAGCTGTACGATAACCAACCTCCCTGGTGTACTGCAGAGACTGCTCTTGGACCGCCATGCCGTAGGAGACGTTGGTCGTTGCACCTTTTATTTCTAGTCCTTCCTCAAAAGTTAAGGTCTGTGCCTAAAAAAAAAAAAAAAAGAAAAAAAAAAAAAATGGTGGAGGTGTGTACATACGGTTTTTCATTCATTTGCAACGTTTTCATTCCTACAAATATTTTTTTAATATATTTAAAATGGACTAATCTGAAACGGAGACAGTGTACTCCAGAGAAGTAAACTGTTTTTTCTACGCTCTCATTTGAGCCGCCTGAGGAGCTGGTGTACAGATGGGGGGCGTGCCATTCTGTGGGCTTTGGGGGCTGTTTCCGTGAAGTAAAAAGGGAAACGGTGTTTGGAACGGTTAACGATGATTGCTGCTTTTTGGTAAAAGACAACAAAACTTGACAAATTAAAGAAAATAGGTTGTGTTCCTTTTTTACTTCAGATCACTTGCAAATTAAGGATGGTTTTTAAGACTGAGGTTTATGGAAGGGTGTATTTTATCTCTGCTAGAACAAAGGTGATACATGACAAGGATATATTTGTTTTGCAGAAAACATGATTTTTAGATTAAGAGTTAAGGAAAATTTGTACAGTGACTTTAAATTGGGATCAAAAGTTGGTTTACTAATGATTTCCGTGCTAAGATACAGTCTCGTTTACTGCTGTCTGACTTGGAAAGCCGGGTGTTATGGTGTGGTTATAGTGAAGAACTTGGTATCTTGCATTTTATTTCTTACTGAGTCTCGTTCGCATCAGTAGCGATGTTCAATTGACTTTAGTTCGTGGTCAAGATCAGCTGGTAGAACACTTTTACCTCAATTTTTTGATTTCATTATTGTGATGGGTGGGATGTAACCTGTATTTATTTAAAAGGAATAAAATGAGGAGATGGAAATAGAAATAAGACCTCCTGCCCTTCAGAAAAAGAGACTTTGCATAACCAGTATTAGAACTACACACAATACTTTCCACTCTGCAACTCTGTGGACCTCAGACAAGCCAATCTCTGCCCTCAGTTGTGTCGTGTAAACCTGTGTCATGGTTATTGAATCATCTTAGGTGTGCTGAAATACAATCCCAAACTAGTACAAAATAGTTATATTTCACTAGATATTCCTCGAAGAGACATCCTGAAACTTCTGCTCAGTCCTTCCACAGCGCTGATGTGTGGTTGGAATTACTCTGATTCTGAGCAAAGGGCTGGGGGGAAAGGAAAAAAAAAAAAGGGGGCAGCAGCCAATCCATTGACCATTATTTATTTATTTTTTATTTTTTACAATGCTGAAGTGCTGCAAAACTTGAACTATATACATCAATTTTCTGACCTATATTATTTGGCATATTAAAAAGTTTATATATTTATGCATTGCAGTAAACTTGGTGTGTGTATATATATGTCTTTAGATTTTAAATTTATATATAATGCTTTACTACAGAAATGTGAACCACTTTTTCCATCCTAGGCTGTCTTGTGAAATAAATCAAGTGCTGTTAGTTTATCTGTAAAACTTCCCTATTTTAAAAATCTTACGTTGTTTGATTTTTCTTTTTAATTTTTTTTCTTAGACAAAGTGCCAAGATCCCATATTCAAAAGTGATGAATGTTCCTAAGTATCTATTTCACTTTTGAGCTCGGTTTTCTAAGTGGCTTAGAAAACTTTTGAAAATGTTATTCAGAATATTGCAGGCTGCTATCTCTTGAGTCCCTGTGGCTTCCCAGTTACACTTGAGGGCATTCAGCATCCAGAAAACCTAAGTAATAAATGCACATGATAAATCCAAATCATAGGTACTCTAGCAGTGTTTTGCAGTTAAAGTTATTGAACCAAATGTTTACACTTAAAGTAGGATTTACAGTAGGTATTCTTACTTTTTTTTTTTGTTTTAAACATAAAGAAAACAAATCTAGAACAGTAGGTATTCTTACTTTTTTGTTTGTTTGTTTTAAACATAAAGAAAACAAATCTAGTGGTAATTGGAGTGTGTTGCGGGTGCACTCGGTGAGATTTGAGCAAGAAGTTTAAGCTTCTTCACCTGAGACAGTTACAAACTCAATTTGCTTGCAGGCGTGTTCTGTCGCTTTCTGGGCGGTTGGTGGCCGGGGACCAAGTCTCTAGAGATGTCTCCTGGGCTTTTGGGTGCAACTGAAGGTTTAAGTGCTCCTGAGATCTCAAAGCTGGCTTCCTTGGCCTCGCTTCAAGGGGGTGGAGGGTCATTCCCCATCTGCGTTGCCTGTGGGGCTGATCCAGGAGATGTTCTAGCCTCTGCGTGCGTGTAGGAGGGAAGGGGTGCATCTTTTGGGTTCTGACTCGTGTCTGTCTGTCTGTCTGGTTCTGAGCTGCGAGCCTGGTGACCAGCACTTCTCTTAGGCCATGAAGTAACCAGGGTCAGTTGCCTTCCAGTCTGGGGCAAGGCTTGAAGCCAAGGCTCTCCTTTCTTTGGGGAGCCTGGTTGTGGAGGTGGTGGTGTGTGGGAGGGGTAGCTGAGCTCTGACTTCTCCGGCATCAGAGATGGTTGACTTCGGTAGCTCAGGGAGGTCACCAGTTCCCTGAGCGTGCAAACAGCTACAGATGGAGCTGGTTGGGTGACGGCGCAGGCTTGAGTGACTTAGGTTGGGCCTGGGCATCCTCTCCTTCCCACTGCTGTAGAAGTGGACAAACCCTGGTCGTTGTAATCAGAAAATCACTAAAATGTGGGGTAGGGGTTGTGGAAGATGGAAATAGCGCTGGCTTTTCTCTCCCCTCACTCCACCTCTGACCGTAATTCCCCTCCAAAAAAAGGGGATGTTCTAGCCTCTGTGTGCGTGTAGGAGGGAAGGGATGCGTCTTTTGGGGTCTGACTCGTGTCTGTCTGTCTGTCTGGTTCTGAGCTGCGAGCCTGGTGACCAGCACTTCTCTTAGGCCATGAAGTAACCAGGGTCAGTTGCCTTCCAGTCTGGGGCAAGGCTTGAAGCCAAGGCTCTCCTTTCTTTGGGGAGCCTGGTTGTGGAGGTGGTGGTGTGTGGGAGGGGTAGCTGAGCTCTGACTTCTCCGGCATCAGAGATGGTTGACTTCGGTAGCTCAGGGAGGTCACCAGTTCCCTGAGCGTGCAAACAGCTACAGATGGAGCTGGTTGGGTGACGGCGCAGGCTTGAGTGACTTAGGTTGGGCCTGGGCATCCTCTCCTTCCCACTGCTGTAGAAGTGGACAAACCCTGGTCGTTGTAATCAGAAAATCACTAAAATGTGGGGTAGGGGTTGTGGAAGATGGAAATAGCGCTGGCTTTTCTCTCCCCTCACTCCACCTCTGACCGTAATTCCCCTCCAAAAAAAGGTTTCCTCTTCTTTTTTTCCATACGCCACAGGTTATTTTTGGAAAAACTCTGGAATTGCTAATTTAAGGGTAAAATCCAAAGTTTGAGTGTACAAGTGGGGGAAAAAAAGAGCGATAATCCCATAAGCACACAGCAGTGTCCTCTGTGCCTGTAGTGTCGTGGCCGCTCTGCGCAGCAGAAGGAGTGGTTATAGAAGCAAAGGTGTAAAATGCTGTTCCCTCATCAAATCAATCTCTTGGGTTTCTCAGGGAGGCACACAGCTGGCCTGGGCTCCGTTCCTTCCCTGGCCTTGTGAGATGCTCATGTTCCTGAAGAGTGGGTGTTGGATTTCAAATTCTCATCCTTTCTGTTTTTATAATCTGAAAAAAGATGCATCCTGAAGAGTCTTCGCAGCAAGGTCTGCCTGTCCTCAAAGATTTTATCAGCTATTCCTTAAGCTTCAATTACAGTGAAAATGCTGTATGCACTCAGCTGCTCCTGGTGGAGAGGCTTCCTGTAGCTTTGAGGGTACCTCATCTTTAAATTGAAGGCAAATTAATATGAGATTACACAAAAGGGTAGCGGTGAACCTGAAAACAGAGGCGAATTTACAAAATCAGCTCCCTGATAACTGCGGGCAGGCTGTGTCCCTTCTGCTTCTGGCTGCACAAAGCTTGCCTGTCTCACAGCCTGCCTTCTCAACCAGAGCTCTTGCTTGAAAATAGGAGTTTTTTTCATCAAAGCCGCTGAAGTGCCTGGCTTGCCTCATAGTCTCCCCTTCCAGAAAACACCAGGCAGCTCCATTTATTTTTTTGCAGTATTTCTGATGCCTGCATGACTTGGTAAATGCACGAGTACAAAAGAGAGGGGTTTTTAGGGAGCTTTTTTCCCTGCTTTAACTGCAGTGTCTGTGGTTGGTTCCATAAATGGTGTGGCCGTACAGCCTGCGTGGGTTTCGCAAAGCGCAGGATGCAATAACAAATGCAAGTTGTTTCAAGTGCCAAACTTTGGTTCCCTCTGTATGTAACAGTAACTCAACTGTTCTATTAAAATACAGAGATGCTTAAAATTCACTGTGTTCCCAAAAAGAGCAGTGGTTCTTTTTCTTTTTTCTTTTTGTTTTATTTTTTTTTAATGAATGCTATTTAAAACACTGTAAATCTTTACTTTTTTTTTTTTTTAATACTGTTGTGTCAGTTTGTGCTACTCTTCACAGCTGCCTTGAGCCATCGCTCCGTGTGATGCACATGAACACTTTGCTCTTCATTAGAGCACTAGTGCCGAGCAGGTTTATAACAAACAGCAGCTGACAACAGGTTTTAGTATTTAAAATCATAAATATTTAGGTAAAGTGCAATTTGTTTGAATTAATCTTATCTGCAGAAGGAAAGCTGTGTCTCAGGAAGCATGGCTGTACCCAGGGACACAGGCACACTGAAGATTGTAACTAAGGTATGTTTTGGTGCCACTCACAGCGATGCTTTCCAAGGATTTGTATTTAATTTTGGGGGTATGGATCCTTTCTGCCTCTAATGTCAGCATCCAGGTTCTGGGGGTTGAGTTCT